CTGAGCTCCCCTCCTCCCCCTCCTCCTCCTCCTCTTCCTCTTTTTCTTTTTCTTTTTAATGTAAGGAATTCTGCTTTTAACATGAATGTTAGGGTTATCAGGATTTTAGTTCCACAGGGACTTGAGAGAAAAGCCATGCATACCCGCTGCAGAAAATTTGGAAACTGTAGAAATATGTAAAGACAAATGAAAATCACTAGACTTATAACCCAGACCTAACCATTGTGAACACTTAGTGAAAAATATACACCTCTACACTTATAATTCTGGAATCAAGCTGTATTTATATTGTGGTATTGTGTCTTTTTTTACTTATCCTTACATTTTTGACTACTTTGTCATGTAAATTGAAAGGTTTTTACTATCCCATTTCAATTTTTGTGTAAAACTACTACACATGAATATTCCATAAATCATTCACCCAGTGCTTTTATTGTTAGATATTTTTTAGAGATTATTAAGTGCTTTACATGTTTTACTTATTATATGTAACTGATAAAAGTCCTTGTTTATTACTCTTCGATTCCATTGTTGATGATTTATCTAAAGGAAATTTAATCAGATGGTGCAATTTGTAAAATACTTGCATTCCCTACCGCTGTCTCCAAATTCTCCAAGATGGCGTTTATGACTTCCATGTCTGTTTAAAAAAGGTTTCAACTTCCAAAGTTAAAGGAAGATCAGAGTTGGAAGGGGCCCTTGGAAATACTTTGTCCAGGATCATTATTTTCCCATAGGGTCAACAGACCAGTGGTCAGGGCAGGGAAGTTTGGAGTGGGTTATTATGTTAGTTTGCCAAAAAGACCACAGACTGGGTGACTTCAAGAATGGAAACTTATTTTCTCGCAGTTTTGGAGGCTGGAAATTCAAGAGCCAGGTCCTGGCAGGGTTGGTTTCCACTGACGCCACCTTCTTGCCACCTCTTCATGTGGCCTTTCCTTTATATGCACACTTCCCTGGTGCCTCTTGTGTGTGTCCAAATGTCCTCTTCTTAAAAGGGCACCAGCTATATTGGATTAGGACCCATCCATATGACCTCTTTCAAGACCCTTTCTCCAAATGCAGTCACATTCTGAGGTACTGAGGGCTAGGAGTTCAACATATGAATCTTGAGGGAATACAGTTCAGCCCATCACAGTCACCCAAGATGATAAACGCAGTACATCAAGGAACCGGTTTGCTTCATAACCCAGTGCTTTCCCCTGATCCAGGCTGCCTTTTATGCTTGTGGTTATGATATTCAACTTCTGCATGCTGAGTCTCAGAGCTTAGTGGTTTCTTTTAGAATTGGACAAAAACAAAAATTGAGGTGTTTCTTCTGGCATTATTCAAGCTTTCATTTAACATTTCCTTGAATATCTAGTGTGTGCCAGGCACTGCTCTGCTGCTGGGAGAACAGGAGTGAATGAGACAGACATACAGGGCAAGGATTAGGGTTGGCAAATGAGGCATTCGCCTCAGGTGCAGCATTTAAGGGGCCTCTAAAAACTCAGCATTTGAGATAAACGATACCTTAATGCAGTATTTAAAACATTAAAATGAATGCCCATAAAACCCCATGGTCAACAAAATACAAGAAATTTTGGTAAAGTCAGGATCAGCTTTACTCACCTTTTCTTTGCCTCAGGTTCCAGTCTGGCTTGACACGGCACTGTTGCCAATCCTATCTTGGTGTGAAAAGTTAGATACTCTGTTCTTAATGAGTTGTTTTGTGTTCACTTTGATATTTAAAAAACACTACATTCAGATACTCTTTATCCTGGCTCCAGAGTTTTTCGGCGGCCCCTTAAATGCTGCTCCCCTTCTCCCCCAATCCTGGCGCTGCAGACAAACCTCGCCTCTCACAGAACTCACGTTAAGATGGGGCACGATGTAGGGGTAACAAGGAAACCAGTAGGACTCACTGGTGGTAAGTGTTAAGAGGGGCGTAGGACAGGGTTACGGGAGGATTTTTTTCTTTTGTGATTTTGGAGGGGTGATAACGGAGCCAGCGTGCTTAGGATGGTGATGATCAGATCAAGCAAATGTGAATGATGTGGACAGGACAGGCTGCAAATACAGGCCCCTAAGGAAGGAAGAGGACGAGGGCCATTGTGCCAGGAGTGCATGAGGGGTGGGGGGTGTGGCCAGTGCCTGGGTCCTGCAGGGCCCTGGGGGTCATGTTAGGTTATGGTTCCAAAATCATTGGCCCTGCCATAAATTTGGGGCACAGTAGATACTCCCATGAGCCTTTTCTGCATTATTCTCTCTAGTTTTCTTTTTCCATTTGTTCCCTCCCCAGACAGCCTTTCAGTTTTCATTTGGTTTCGTTCCCTTGACCTCTGGCTTTTAATCCCCCTTCTACTTGGTGCTTTTTGGGAACATAAACCCCACCCAGATCTAGAACTGAGAGCATCTGAGTTGCACCTGTCCTTCACTGGGGATGCTGGTTAGTCTTAAAAATAAATTTCCCGAATCCCAGCGGCCACAATAATCACAGCAGCACCACAGTCAAACTTTGGGGAAGACTGCCTCATTTCATCCTGACACCAGTTCTATCTGATTTAAATTCTTTCCTTTACAGTTATTTTCTCCACTTTACAAAGGAGGAAATGGAAGTTCGGAGGGGTTAAATAAACCTGTGCATTGTTGCCTAGTTGGTAAAGCTGAGAGCTGAACTCAAATTTGTTTGATTCCCGGAGCTGTGCATTTAACCCAGAAGCTGCACTGCCCTAAATCCCCATACCCACCTCATGCTAACCCACAGCCTTCCACCGAAGATTTTAAAAGGACAGGAAGTGCAGTGTTTATCTCCTGTATCGCTCATCCTGCACCAGTCTTCTCTCTCTAGGTACCGGGTATTTCCTCTTAACTCCTCCAGACCCGTTGTCCAAACCCACACTCCCTCCAAGCCCAGCCTCCCTTCTCCCCTCCCAACCTGGCTTTTCTCCCTCCCCTGAGCTCCTGTTGAATTTAGGGACAGGAGGAGGCTCCTCACCCACTCGTCTGCGCTCTCTCTCTGCTGTGTGTGCCTTTTCTCCTTTCTGCCGCTAACGCACTCAGGACTGTTGACACGCGTAGCTGGCCACTGTGCTAAGCCGTCCACGCCTTATGGACATTCTGCCTTTTTGAGACGGTTGGAGGAGTCGAGGCCTGGGAACCTGGCTGCAATTGCACAGCTAGTACATGGGAGAGCTGGGCCTGCAGTCCTCAGTCTAACTCCTGTCCCAAGCTCTCCATGGCAGCAGTGCCTTCCTGGGTGTGGGGGTTGTAAAGACAGGGCTTGCCCTTTATGGATGCAGTAGGGTGTACTGGGGGAAAATGCACATTTGGTAGCAAGCACACCTGGGTTTGAGTTCTAGTTCTGCCTTTCATGGGGACTGTGTCCCTGGACAAGTTACTTACCTCTGTGCCTCTTTTCCCTCTTCTGGAACATGGGCATAATGACACGTTAGCGAATTATAATAATTATTCATTGGAGCTGATGTCCAGAGGCTTGCCCATGGGGAGTGTTCCCTGTGTGTTATTTCTCTTCTCTTCTGCTACTCTCAGAAGCACACGGCGCACGCCCCTCTCCCCGAGCTGGGTGCCTTGTTAAGAAACAAATCCTTGAGGGCCGATAGGTTGAACCCTTTACCACCGTGACCACCTCTGGTCCCTGGTGTCACACCATGGGATGGACGAGACAAATTCCCTGGGGGCCCAGAGCAGTGGAACTTCTCACTGATAAGGATCGGAGCCTTTCCCGAAGGGAATTTTAATACATGACT